AGGATCACAGCTGGGAACTGAAATACCATTATTTTTCCTCAGGCCAGACACAGACTGGACATAAACTCCCTTTCTCCATCTCCCTCAGCCGCATCTCACTGACCTCACCCAGTTAACAGCTCGAGGAACAGCGGAGAAGATGCCGGTGCCAGGCCAGGCGACAACTGGGCACTTGGGTTCCAGAAGTCGGGTGCTTCACTTAGGGCTGTACCTGGGGACAGGAGATTATCGGGGACAGTACCGGGGGTCACAGGTCGCCTGGGGAGTCCTTCCCATGCCCAGGCTCTGCCCCAGTGCCACTGGCAGCGCAGCGAGGTGGGAGAGCCTTTCTGAGCAGTTTCTTGGCAGAGAGGTTATTCTGAGTAGCTGTGGGTGCCTTCCAGTGGCGTGTGCTGACACTGACCTCTAGTGGGAACAGATCCCTTTATTTTTTCCCTGCAATTTTAACCATTTTAAGCGACACGTGTTAAAGGGGACTGGAAAGGGACCAGAATTAGAGTTTTATTTTTAAAATCCTCAAAAGCAGAGCAGAACATTATAAAGCCCTGCCGATACATTATATATATAAAATATAAATGTATATGTTTATGTATATGTATTATATGTATATTATCACTCTGTTTTTAACGCCTCTGAAAATAATGAAAGTCCAAATCCCATGTGGCCAGTCAGAAAAGCTCTCTGTCAGGAAGACAGCATGAAATGGAGCCCAAGTCTTGCTGAACGAATGACAGCAGGCAAATACTGGGCCAGAGTGGCCAAGTTCATTCTTCAGACTTCCCAGTCGTCCAAAGGATTAATAGGCACACATCCAGCCAGAAGAGAGATGGCAGGAGGTGCTGCCTGAGCCGGGTATTGGTGGGTGTAGCTGGAAGGTCAGGGCGCAGAGTGGCTGGACCTGGGTGCCTGGGTGGCATAGCTGGTTTTAATGGGGAGTGCCTGGTCTCCACAGCTCAGCTGCAGCAGAACACTGCAACATAGACCTTGGGGAGCACTAGCCAGCTCGAGAAAGTTCAAGGCTCACCTCAGGGAAGCTGCAAGATCACTGGCTGCAGGGAAGCGCACAGCAGCAGCAGCAGAAGGCTGCTTCCAGGGGCTGCTTGGTAGCCAGAGGTGGCAACAGCTTGCAGTGGGCTGCACTGTAGGGTCCCAAGTGGTGGAGCTCGAGTCGCCTCCCTGCAGAGCTGGTCCAGGGCTTGTGCTCAGGCCCTGTGCTTTGGCTGAACCACTCCCGGACCCGTGCTAGCACTGGAAGCAGGCTCCACACCTATGCCACAACTGGAACAGGACATTGCAAGATAATTGAGGAGCCACTGCCACTTGCTGCAAAGCCAAGCAGCAACTAGTTCACAGAAAAGTGAATCGTTGTGCGTCACCACACAAGTCTGTGCTGATTTGACCAATGTGGATTTCTCCCAATACCTGATTTCATCCACGCAAATGTCTATATGAAACCATTCCATGATTCCATGATGGAGCTGCATCTCTAGCAACAGCTAGTATGTCACTACAGAAAATGGCAAGGGCATTTTGGACGGTATTTGATGGGTAACGGAGTAGCAGCTGGGTACAGAAATCTGCAAAAGTTCTGGGTAGGGGTCAGGAACGTCAGCTGCAGATGCACATGGAGCTGGGATGCAGCCCCCACCGGTATGGGAAAAAGAGTGACACGAGTACACGGCCCAGACCCCTGCCCCGCATCGGACAGAGCTGACAAGATGTGGGAGAAGCTCCTTTCCCTCAGCAATCGCAGCCTGACAACCAGGCAGTGCCAGGGACACAGCTGGAGATACTGAAACCGATCCGGAGCGTGGGAGGAAAGCTTGTGACTGGAACTTATTGATGCCAACAGAGACATCTCCTGCCTGCCTGCTGCCGCCCTCACACCCCCAAACCTTTCCTCCTGCCTGGTCTGAGGCACTTTCCGTGGGTATCTCCCCTGCAGCAAGGCTGCAGTTAAAGGCCTGGTGGCCGGTGCTGGGGTGTGACGCAAACCCGAAGCGGCAGCTGGAGCACGGGAGGGGGAAGTCGTCAGCGCTTTGCATGTGGTTTGTGCGCACCGGGTCCCGTACCCACCACCGAGCTCTTCCCAGGTGAGGTCCCTCGCAGGTGTGTGGCACGAAGAGGTCCTTCCCCTCCTCCTGGGCCAAGCTGGGAAGATGGGCACCCTGCGGAGGAGGAGAGGCACGTCAAGCAATAAAAGCAAGAAGTAAAACTGATTTTAAAGCATCACCTCCATTCAGAGCTATCTAGGTTGTCTTCTGAGGAAAGTCTGCTGCTTGGGACACTGGAAAGTAACTAGATCACAGAATCACAGAATCACAGAATGGTAGGGGTTGGAAGGGACCTCTGTGGGTCATCTAGTCCAACCCCCCTGCTGAAGCAGGGTCACCTACAGCAGGCTGCACAGGACCACGTCCAGGCGGGTCTTGAACATCTCCAGAGAAGGAGACTCCACAACCTCCCTGGGCAAAAAACCTCCCTGGGCAGCCTGTTCCAGTGCTCCGTCACCCTCAGAGGGAAGAAGTTCTTCCTCATGTTCAGATGGAACTTCCTCGGCTTCAGTTTGTGCCCGTTGCCCCTTGTCCTGTCGCTGGGCACCACTGAAAAGAGTCTGGCCCCATCCTCCTGACACCCACCCTGCAGATATTTATAACCATTTGTAAGGTCCTCTCTCAGCCTTCTCTACTTGAGGCTAAATCGGGTCTACGCAGATCCATGAGGAACACAGCTGGATAGCTTTGATGTTGGAAGGAGGACACCGAAACACGGCCTGGTCAATCATTCACATGTGGAGAACTGGGCCTTTGTTTGAGCTTCTGTTTCCAGCTTTGATCTCTCCGTCCTGGCTGCCCTTGCGTGTGCCCTGGCAGGCACTCCGGGCTTCGGGTTTGCTCCTTCCGATGCAGAGAGGCGGTGGGAAGCAGCTGGGCCTGGTGACTTGCACAGCCGACTGCAGTGACTGCCCGGCCATTCCCTTTGCCCGTAGAGGCAGGACGGGCGAGAAGGTGTCTCGGCGGGTGACACGGGTCAAACCACGCACACGGGAAAAGCAAACGTCCCCTTCGCACCGATCTCCGCTACCACCAAGCGACGTC